ATAACAAGGAGCATGCTGATAGGGGAGAGAATAAAGTGACAAAGAGATAAGCAACAGCAAAAAAAACAGAATGTTTTAAATGAATATAGTAGGGGAACTCAACGTGGGTTCTATTCCTTCCCTACTTTATTAAAAACAAAAAGTTTTGCCTGGGCATACACTTTACCTGCAGTAGAGAACAGTCAGTTATCCAGGCTGGTTGTGCTGTGTAAACACTCCAAAATGAATGGACAGAAATACAAATCCTTCTTAGGCAAAAAATTTGTTTCGTTTCGTTTTGATTCGGATTTTGTATTATTTTGTTTTTCGGAATTCGGATTCGGACAAAATTCATTAGCGGTAGTTCGTTCGAACGGTCCTTTGTTTTCGTTTCTTATTCGTTTCGTTCATTCGTTGCAGAAAAGTGACATTTGAGGGGGAAACAATTTTGTTCTCCTTCTCTAATGTCACTTTGCTCCAACGAACGAACAAAACGATTAAGAAACGAAAACGAAACGAACTTTGCGAACGAACTACCGCTATTGAATTTCAGAAATGGAAATTCGGATTCGTTTGCGTTTGTTACATCTGTAATTCAGATACATCCGAATGTCCGAATTTCCGAAAATTCGTCCGAATTTCGATTCAGAACTAAACGAATCGCACATGTCTAATGCACCGATTCTTTTCGAGTACCAGTGCCGATACTTGGCATTTTCATGAGAACTACCAGGGTTGCAGCGGTTGCAGCTGGGACCTGGCTCTGGCACTGCACCACTGTCCTGAAATCATTAGTCTGTATTGTTTTAGAAAAACTGTCACATGACAATAAACAAAAATGTATCAGTACTCGTACTTGTAAGTACTCGGCAAGTACCAGTACTCGTACTCGCAAAACTGGTATCTGTGCATCCCTTTATTTATATTTATAAAAACAAAATCATACATTAAAACAGAGATGTACAAATCCCAGGAGCTCCGTGTGCTCCTTACACATGACAGCTGCCTCCTAACTTTTGAATTTTTCTCTAGTTTAGTCTTGGAGCTGGAAAAGTATCAGTAATTGTACTTGTACCGAGTACTGTACTTGGTATTGGTGCATCCCTAATATAAATATATATATATTTATACATACACACACACACATCTGTATATATATAATTTAGTTGTTTGTCTGAAGGTTACAGAGATTTGTAAATAAGGATATCTCATTAGCTCATTACTATGGTCCAAGTACGAGTACTGATACATTTTTGTTTATTGTCATGTGACAGTTTTTCTAAAACAATACAGACTAATGATTTCAGGACAGTGGTGGAACGCCAGAGCCAGGTCCCAGTCGCAACCCTGGTAGTTCTCATGAAAATGCCAAGTATCTGCACTGGTACTCGAAAAGTATCTGTGCATCCCTACTTTTAAATATATACCAATTTAGACAACACACAGGAAAACTGAATATTGTGCATATGTGACATTTGCAGGTCCAGCAGGTGTGTTACAGGCTGCTACAGTGACACCTACTGATCCTGGAATGTATTACTTAGCTCATAAGGAACCCTTTTGTAGAGGAACAAGGAGGCTGCCATTGCTGACATGTCAATCTTCAAATGCTAGTTGCATGATTGCCATTCTAATCCTCTTGCTTCAATACGTTCAGTCAGTGGCCTGGAAAGAGTATGCAGATAAGGAATTTTGACTACCCTGGCAGCCAGGCCACTAGTATTGTCAAAAGAGAATCAGCAATAGCAGCCTCTGTTGTTTTCATTAGTAAATGTATGTGCGGTCTGTACTTTGGTGGAGACTTGCATCCCTGCCTTGTAGACTGGTTTGTGTAACAGATCATTCCAATCTATCTATGCTAAAAGGAGGAAGATGCAGAAAAGTATACACTAATGTACTAGTGGGTCCTGTGGCTGATATGTGGCTATAAGGCAAGAATAGTCCAATGTAAAATTCAGTTTTCCTCCTCTTGGTTCAAATGTGTTTTTTGGTTTAATGCATCCGAATGGGTCTGAACACGAATTTTCATTACAGCAACATGGGAGCCATAGCTTTAGTATATACATATAATACTAAAGCTGAGGATGCTAGACCCGAATGGCATAATGGATAACAATTTCCGAATTGCATTCGGGAGCTCCCAAATGCCATTCAGGTCTGGGAGCCTCAGCTTTAGTAATATATGTATATGGCTCTCAGACCCGAATGGCATTCGGGAGCTCCTGAATGCAATTCGGAAATTTGGATCCCAAATGCCATTCTGGTTTTCCGTTAGCTTACATGCCTAGAGGTTTCTGATGTGAAAGGGGACTCTAAGATGAAGGAGGGGACTTTGACGCAGTGGCATCGCACCAGCCTGCACAAGGTGATATCATCGGAGGGGGTGACACCAAAATGACTGGCAGTCATTTTGGTGTCACCGCTTCTGAAAAGTCGGGCACATGGTCATGGACCGAGAGCCCGACAGCTGCACGAGAGAGGAGGGAACCCAGCGGCATATCTTATCCTGATGGATGTGCGCCCCTCCTCCCTTTGCTGGCATCCATCAGCAAGATGACAGCTGGCAGTTAAGTGCATGTGAAGTCATTACGCGCATATGTGATGACATCCCGGCAGGTGACACCCACGTTTGCGATGTCTCTGCTCTGATGTGAAAGGAGGGAACTCTGATGTGGACGGAGGGGACTCTGACATGAAGGGGGATTCCTGATGTAAAGGGGGGCACCCTGATGTGAAGGGGGAACCCCTTTTTGTGTTTTAATGTTTAATTTTGTGTTTTAAAATTAATACCATACCTCTATCACGGATAAGGGTCTGGTATGGATTCTCCCAGATAGCAAGCAATTGAGCTGCAAGTTTGAAAATGACTTGCTAAACTATTGCAGACTTGCCAAGCTTCACAATTTTGTTGCACAATTACAGCAAGTCTGCATTGCAAGTCTCCAGATCAACATGCTTTGCAATAGTGCTGTACACTTGCAGAGTTCTTGCTAAGACCTGCAGGACTCTTGCTGTAGACGTGCCAAGCAAAATTGTTACCAATTCAAAAAGTGTCAACTAGAACTTATGCTGCAAGTGTTCTGCAAGTCTACAACTTGCCAGGAATGTGTGCAGTAAGTTAACAAGAATTACAATTTAACCCTGGCACAAGTTTGTGGCAAGTTATCCTTGCTATCTGGGCTGGAGGTAACAAACGTTTTTTACATTTACGCTTTTTACATTTAAGACTGGGGTGCCTAGAGATGTTGCATACTTTTAAATGATAGCGTGACTGGAAAAAGGTTGAGACACACTGTCATAGTAGTTGAATCAGGCTGAGTCTAATATAGACCACCCTCTAGTGGTTAGTTTGCAGATCTCTATATTTAATGCTGAACACTGATGAAGGGCTCGATGTTCAAGTCGAACAACAGTTTGACTCGAACACTGCTAGTTCGTGTGTTCGGCAAACACACAAACTATCAGGGCGTTCGGCGGGCTGTTCGCCTGCCGAGCACCCCACAAGACGATGTGCACCGCACAGTGCCTTGTGAAGCCCTGATTGGGTAAAGCAATGCACCTGACCACAGCTTAGGTGCATTGCTTTACCCAATCACAGCACAGTGCACTGTGAGAGTCATGATTGGGCAAAGTAATGATGACTTTACCCAATCATGACACATAGGGACCCCAAAGAATCTGATGAAGCAGAGAACTGCTCCACCAGCTTCTTCTGCTGGCTCTAGGAGCCGGAAACTGTGCCCAGTGACACCGGAAGTGATGTAATGCACATCACTTCCGGGCTGGAAGCCACTAATCTCTCCTCCGATCCATCAGGGTAGACCCGCCATGCTGGTCCCAGGCTCACACGGGGGCTACCGTCGGGAAGCTGACGTGGCACCGGCAGGGGAGGGGGGGGTTGACGGCAGCAGCCGTGTTCTTGGTATAACCACTTTAACCACTTCCAGCGGAGGATGTACATTTACGTGAACCCACTGGAAGTGGTTAAAGGGGTACCCTGATGTGAATAAGCTCCCTTTCCCCCACCCCCACAACTAATGCCCCAGGGCTTGTGGGGAAGAGGCCCTTGTCCCCATTGGGACAGGGACAAGGTGCATCCTCCCAGTGCCGAGGGCATGTGGCCTGGTATGGACCAGGCCTGTACTCGGATCAAGGGTCTGGTTGGTAATAATATCACTTAAACCCTTTGTTAGGACAGACAGTGTTCAAATCTAGTTTACAACTGATACTGAGATCTGCCAGCACAGAACAGACAGGGTTAATTAGGATAAACATAACTTCCCACAGCCCCCTCCTTAACATTACAGGGGGGGGGGGGGGCTAGGTGTGATTTTTAAGCAAGTATAAAGACCTTAAACATGTAAGCAGCATTTTTAAATGATGTGATGTGAATGGGAAGATGTAATAAACATATAATAGGTGTTATCCTAATCTGGCTGCGTAAGTGGAAATACACTGCTAAATATGTACAACAAGTACAATGTACAACAAGTACACTATATACTTTTCCTTTAAAGCAATGGGCCACTACAAAAAGATGAACTCCAATGTGCTGAAAATGGATAGACCGACTAATAATACTCTGTAAGCCATCACTTGGCAGAGGATTCCCTTCCCATCTGGATTTATCACTAGATAGACGCTTAAAAGAGAAATTCTGCTGGAGTTTGAAAATGAATTATGGGATTAAAAGCAGAGAGGTCTGGTTATGTAATAACAGGCATTCGTGTGCTATTTGATTTTTCTGCAGATTTATACTTAATACTATGCTGAGTTCCTTCTCCGATTTATAGAGTGACACAGGAACAAGGAGCTACAGGGAGATCCCCTCTCTACTAGGCAAAGGGGGGCGCCCCTGGATTTAAGCAGGATCGCTGACATCAGCACTGCGGCAAAATGGACAGTTCCATCTGTGCAGTTTGAAGTGAAAGCCTTGACTTGATCCTGATCACTGCTGCTGAACATCTACAGTTCAAACCATCGGCAGCACATGCTAAAATGACAGACTTCCAGCCAAGAAGAGGTTAAAAATCACATCGTGTGGCAAGCAAAGTAAATGCTTTTCTTCTCCAGCTATTGAGAGTGCCTGGCAGTATAAAAGGCTGGGCGCAGGTGTCCCTCCCTCATCCGCCTTCCAAGATGAGTTACGGTTCAGACCATTACCTCTCCTCCTCCTACAGGAAGATTTTCGGGGACCCACCTCGGTCTACCCGCATCGGTGGCAGCACTGGTTCCTCTAGGACCCCCCTATCTGGAGGGTACAGGTCCCAGTCCGTGTCCCGCAGCAATGTCTCCTCAGTGTCCTCCTACAGGAGGTCTTCTAGACCTGGTGGCTATCTTTCTGGAGAAAACGTAGACCTGGCCCAAACTTCAGTCCAAAACAACGAATATAAGATCATCCGTACCAATGAAAAGGAGCAGATGCAAGGGCTCAATGACCGCTTTGCCATGTTCATCGAGAAGGTCCATAACCTGGAGCAGCAGAATAAGGTGTTGGAGACTGAGCTGATCGCCTTGAGGCAAAGGCAGTCCGAGCCTTCCAGGCTGGGGGAGCTCTACCAGCAGGAGATCAAAGATCTCAGGTCCCTGGTGGAAGATCTGAACGCTGAGAAATCCCAGCTCATCATTGACAGGGACAGCTTGGAGGATGATCTGCAGAAGCTGAAGGGCAAGTATGAAGATGAGATCCGGATGAGGGAAGAAACTGAGTACGCTTTGAAGACCCATAAGAAAGATGTGGATGATGCCACCCTGGCTAGACTTGACCTGGAGAAGAAGGTGGAATCTCTGTTGGATGAGATCTCTTTTATGAGGAAGATCCATGAGGAAGAAATCACCGAGCTGATGGCCATGTTACAAGCCTCCCAGGTCTCAGTGGAGATGGAGGTGTCTAAGCCCGACCTCACCTCTGCTCTGAAGGAGATTCGCTCCCAATATGAGTCTTTGGCAGCCAAGAACCTGCAGTCTGCTGATGAGTGGTACAAGTCTAAATACGCCAACCTAAGCGAGCAGGCATCTCGCAGCTCCGAGGTGATCCGAGCCAGCAGAGAGGAGCTCAATGAATACAGGAGGCAGCTCCAGTCCAAAACTATCGAGAACGAAAGTCTGCGAGGTACCAACGAATCCCTGGAAAGGCAGATCCAAGAGATGGAGGAAAGGCAAATAGCAGAAACCAATGGACTGCAGGTACAGTTCATATTTTGCACCTTTGAAATATGATCACTTATTTATTTAGTAACTGTAATTTAAATTCAGTGTAGACTTTATCTAAATTTATGTTTCAAAGATCCTGGAGCATCTTCCTCTGGCCATAGCAGGCTGGGATGCTGGTTCCTGTCCAGGGTGCTGAAACTGATTCCATGGAAGCACACCCGGGCTAAAGGGAATTGTATCACTATATTACTAAAGCTAAACAGCTACAACTACATTACCAAGCACACATTTTATTTTCCATTAGTAATTAGTGTGCCTTCTATTGTCACTATAATTAAGTCATGCATTCATCTTTAATAGAACAATAGAAAAAAAGCAATGGAAGGCACATGCAATGCATTATATATGAGCATCCTTATGTAACAGTTTCATTAAAGCACTTTGTGGCACACAGAAAGTGAACGGGAGGAGGGCTATAGGGAGTAGCAGCTCTAACAAAGACACTTCATACAACTATCAAGGGAGCTTTTTAAATCATACAAACTAGAAAGATCACTGAAGACTGATTAGTGTAATATGCTTTTAAAGTGACAGGCTTTTCATGGAATCTATAACTTTATTATAATTGAGGTTATTGAAGGAATAATAATACATTAGCCTAACTGTTGGGATGCTCAGGTTATTTTACATAACAATTGTCAGGAAATGATTATGGAATAAAAATAATGCACCCAGTCCAACATGTATTTATTTGCACAAAGAGGTGATGCTCTAAGATAAGATATCTCTGATGGTAGTTTCAATATTAAGCCAGGAAGTTGAGAATAAAATGATTCTGATCATTGTGAACATGGAAAAAGGAAGTCTGGAACATCACACACATTTTAAAGTATGTAGGATTTGATGGAAAACATGTATACAGAAGTATAATGATCTGAAGAAATAACTACACTCACAAAATATAAGTTCTGGTATGGTATTTATGTATGGACAACAGTACACTATAGATCATGTTTATATTCAGGTAAAGGGAAATTGTTATAGACACAGTCTGATCAAGGTTTGGGATCCACCCATTTTAACTTCAATCGCCATCTTTAGATAGGGAGTGGCACCTTATCATCTTAAGTTCATTTGAGCATTAAATACTCATTATAGAACTCTCATAACATATGTAATCTACTTTGTAAGTATAAGGAGAACAAATTTATTGCAGATTTACCATGAATTATTTTACCTGATTTGAATGTGATTCAGAAGGTTGTAATAGCAGTACACACCCAGCCAATAGCCCAATAGCCAGATTTAGAAACAATGTAATGATCATCTGTAATGATTCCTTAAAATTACACATTATTACTTCTACCTCTTCCAAAAAGAGTGAATGTAATATAATTAAGTACATCAATTACAGGATGTGACAGTTGATGTGAGTTCCAACAGTATACAGTAAAAAGCACAGTAACAAATTTTCAATATAAATATATATATATAACAGAATACAGTGAAAAGCACAGTAAAAAAATTGCCCTATATATATATATATATATATATACACACACACATTAAGCAGTTATCAAAAAGTCCAATACATCTCATATTAATGAAGTTATGATGAACATCGTAAATAAACAATGTAAAGAGCAATGGTTTCAGTTTACTCTAGTCAGATCAATGGAAGGTGAACTCTTAACTTGTGAATTCCTTTAATATGCTATTATTTGCCTTACTACTCTTGGCCATTGTGTTGGTACTTTTATTATTGTAATATTATTGTTATTTTTTTTTAAATGCTAGCAATTTTCTGTGGAAATGTTATTTAAGAATGACTTTTAAACAAGTAGACCTCCCAGCATGTTACATAGGCCGAATATCAAAGGTTATACAAAGGCAATGGTGGACTCTCAACCGATCTAAATTCAAGTGATGATGAAGAGCTGGATGAAGGTGTTTTGGAATTATAGGCAAACAACTCTCACTGTTTCTAAAGCAAAATGTTCTGGGGAAAAAAAATTTCAGAACAGAATGTCTGATATTTTACTTAGTAGAGATCAAATGTTTATTGTTCTCTCCTGCTGAAAAGAACATTGGTGTCAGGGGTGGAATATCTGAGAGGCAAACATTGCTCAGTGCTCAAGGAACCCTTAGCAACCTTTAGAGGAAACCCAAGGTTCCATAGAATCCTAGTTAAGAAAAACTGCTATACACTATATATGGTAGGACTGATTTAGGTAAAAGTAAATTAATTAACTAGCATGCTTTCTAATTGTAGGAGTTAGCCCTTCAGGGGTATAACTACCACCACAGCAGCACAAGGATCCAACACAGACTAGCTGAATAATGATTACTCCAGGCAACAATGACTTTTGAAGACTAGTTTCAGATAAAATTAATTTATACTTGCTTTAGGCACGTCCTTTAAGCTGTTATAACTCTAATCAATGTGCTACAGTGTTAGCTATTGGTTTCAAACTGTAGAAATCTCAGTATGGAGACCTTTGTTAGAGACCTTTGTTAAAGAGGCTGGAAAGCCATGTTGCTTCATAATAATTTTGCTTTGTAGCAAACTGATTTATAGTTATTCCCCTGAATCCTAGCAAGCACATATGTGAACAGTATTTCAGGTTTTATCCGAAGACTTCACTGCATTTCGGGACACTTAGGAATATATATATTGTTATAAATAAAACAATAATATGCTGAATTGTCTCCGTAACTATGCTGTAAATAAAACTGTGAAAATACTGATTTCAGTAAACACACCATGTACAAATAAATAATAGAGGTTACAGTGCCCTATATAGAAACATAAATTTACAACCATGGGAATACCATGGGGATATAGCCTAAATTAATGCACGTTTAGATGTACAGTATGTGACAAATGACATAAAGAACATTCCTTTCTAATTACAGGACACCATCAATCAGTTGGAGAATGATCTGAGGAGTATAAAAGGAGAGATGTCGCGTCATCTGAGAGAGTATCAAGATCTGCTTAATGTCAAGATGGCCCTGGACATTGAGATTGCTGCCTACAGGTAACAATACAGCTTGTATTTTAAGTGTATTAAAGTAAGCCTTAAAAGCATGAAGCTGAGAGCTCATCTGTGCTGTTGTATCTGCTCAAGCCTGTATTTAGCATGTGCTTTGAAGCCAAGCTCCCGCCTCACCTTAATAGATACTTCCTCATAGTTCATGCCATTTTGGTTGGACAATAGTAGAGCTCTTAATTTTCTCTCCCTCTCCTCCCCACTGTGGGCTTCTAGAGATCTCTGCATCTCAATGAAGGGCACTTATCTTTAGAGCTGTAGGAATGCCCAGTGTCACATAGCCTCTTCCTGGCCACAGAGGCTAACAAACATACATCCTTCCCCCAAAATCTCTTATCTACAGGCCCAGACTGTACATAAGAGACTATTACATTCTTATGTGCATATTACATTCTGGGAGTCATACTTAGGGTAGATTAAAAGTAACAGAACTGGCTTTACCAAAACAATAAAAGGCACATGAGTAAAATAGATATACAAGATTGCTCACGACAGTTAGCCATACCTATCACTATGTCTGCTCCTGATTTTGCATAAATATAAAATAAGTATTGGAAATACTATTGAATCTGATTGAAAGATGACTGCTAATGCCGTCAGTTGGTCTGTACATGCTGTTACACCAAAAACTAATTGATAACAGAAGTTATTCAAACAGTTGATAGACCAGTTGAAGGGGTATTATTAAAATAAAATAGTTTCATCTTGTTGCAATGTTCAGCTAATGTGCCAACAGACAGGATATGGCCACATATAGAGACCTTTAGAGTAGAGAATGTGCCACAAGTCTAGTTATTAAAAGGGACCTGAAACAGTAAATGGACACAACATTGAGCCTGTACATTTGCCACTTATGTAGCTACAATGAATATAGCATACACACAGCAATACAACTTATTAATATAGTAATGATTCTGTCTACCCATCCCTCCACTACCACAAAATTCATGTACTCCTAGTTAATGGCATCTCTTTGGAACTCAGTATTCCCAAGTTTACAGTTGCCCACATCAGTTCAATGTATCCATATTAAAGATTTAATATGTGCACCTATTCTATTTATGAAACTCCAGGAACACCAATTCTAATGTTATTTGTTTTCTTATAAGCAAGAAACATTATTAATATATTAATGTCCTTAATGGAGTCCCACAGATGCATACTGCCAGCATTGCTTGCAGTGTCCTGTATTAGTTCTCAAGACTGAAGGTACTACAGCACCCGGTGGCTGAAAAAAAGCCTTACTTCTTGACTCAAGTCATGCTGAAAATCCTGCTTAGTCTTGTTGCATTGTATTGTGAAAAATGTATTTAAACCTTAAAGCTAAACTGGAAGAACTGAATGGTGGGTGGCAATTATTAGGGATTACATTAGACATTTTAAACAATTTGACTTGCCTAACGTAACATTGGATTGGTAAAAGAAAAAGGTAAGCTTTGCAGTCAGTTCACATCACTCATATTTGATTAATATTGCTGCAAGTCAGTTGAATAATATTGTATTTTTATTAACATTACTAATCCACTGTATCACTATCTCCAGGAAACTGCTGGAAGGTGAAGAGACCAGGTTCAGCACCACAGGAATAAGCATCATGCCTTCAAATCCTCTTCAGAGCTATTCTTATCAGCCTCGCATGCATAGTTCCTCCTCTTCTAGGGGTACATCGGCAGCATCCAAGAAAGATGAAGCTGATACTGCCACCAAAACCATCTCGAAATCATCCGCTCACAAAGGGGAGTCCTATGAGGAAATCATTGAAGAAACTGTTGTGTCAACCAAAATAATAGAAAAGCCAGACCAGAATGTGGGAATTAATGGTAAACCTTAAACTAAGAAAACTAGTACTTTACAAATTAGTTAGCAGTTAGGATTTCTACTTTGCAATTTGTCCATTCACTCTTAGAATGATAGCTTTCATGTTAGTTTCTCACATAGTCATTCCATTTTTGCAGTCATGCTGAATATCACTCGACCTTCTAGTTCCACAACAGTTGGGTCACAGGTTACCTAGGCCAATTACAGAAAGTCATGGATGCCAGATGGGATTATGGCACATTAAAGGGATTGTCCCCTTTGTGTGGTGGAATTTTGCTACCGTATTCCTACCCCGATTACCTCTTTTACAAGACAGTTGTTTTATTCTAGCTTTGCAATGCACATTTCAATCATAAACTCACATCACTAGAGACTTCTTTATGGAAAGTGCATTCTGGAGGCAGCTGTATCAACTTTGAAGTTTTACATGTCAATGGTAAAAAAAAAATTGTAGGATACAACTTACAAATTAGTAGGTTTAAAACATTTGAAAGTGGACAGTCCCTTTAAATGAAGTTTCTGAACTACATTACATGCTTAAGCAATAATAGCGTTTGCAGTGACAAGGTATAAACCAGCCAAAAATTCGTTATTTTTATCACCAAACAATAAAGTGATGAAAAGATTCACTTTCTCCACCCGTTTCCATTGTATGACCATACAAATGTGATAGATGCATGATGCACAATGCCAGCCATCAAACATTAAACATTCCACAGTGTATTGTTGCAGCTATTCATTTAGAGCACTTCACACTTTCACAATTTGCACTTAGTTCCTAGACATAGCAACAAAAATAGTATCCAATATTAATGGTGACATGGGGACCATGCTAACTTTTCAAGCACATTACATGTCTTAGCTGTTTACAGCTGATCTGCTGATCAGTCCATGGGAAAAGTCTACACGTTTCACAATTCAGCTTAGCTTTTCAGAACTGTTTACTAATAGTTTTCCGTACAGTCACTTAGTATGGAAACTAATGTTAACATGTAGCTAAAATGAGCACAATGAGAAGTCCCACTGTTTTTTTAAACATACAGTGGTGATGATAGCACAGCAGTTACAAAACACATTCACCATTTAGGTGCTAAGAACAGAGATTAATACACAATACACTCTAAAAACGGTCACAACCCTCTTTCCTGGTGATAGTTTCACACCTGACCTTTGAATGGTCAAAATACAGTAGGAGGCAATTTTCTCTTCATAAAGTTGCATCAAGGTTAAGGTCGTAGAACATCTTAATATGCCTTATTAATACAAACATCCTTCCAGTTTTGAGTGTAACATACATGTTGCATTTGTCTTTGTAACAAACAATGAGTTACATTTCGTAGGGTAAGTTTACACTTTATACAGTGAAATGTTTTAATCAATGATAATGCAATGAAACATAAAATTATGCCATCAGACAAAGAACAACAAATAAAGATGAATACATTCATTTTATTGTCTTGTTTTATTTGGGTTTGGTAGTATATACAGAGATAGCGGTGTGTGAAAATCATAGAGGATCCATATGCAAAGAAACTAACACCCTCCTTTGATGCTACATGTACTATACGTGTATGCCTCCCTGTGATGGAGCTACCTTGCCAAAGGCTGCCTAAAAGCTCACAGGACAGCTGCACGTAAAGTTGCCTATTTTGGGTGTTTTCCCACAGCTCACCATTCCCAAACCCTATAATTTCCTGGTAACATTTATGTAACATAACTAACACCAACGAACCCAGTACTACACCACTGTCCGTAAACTATAAAGCATCCTTAGTATTTGTTTGTACATGACAACCCTATTTTACCGATAAATATTTAATTGAAGCTTCAGTGTATGCTGAGCCTGTTGGGATATCTAGGAAAGCCAAGTACCCTTTCTGCACTTCAAAACTGCTTCTATAGACTGAAGATCTAGATGACGCCATCTCTACATGGAGTGGAGAAGGAGTGCCACCCTTCTCTGAGTTATCCAGCTGACTCAATCAGCTATATGTATATCAATAAAATCAACCTGATAGACCTCATGGTCCCCTTGGAGTACTTGCAGCAAATGCAACCATATCTGCTTATCATAATTGTCTCATAGCTGTAGAATAGAGAAGTAAACCTAAAAAAGAGTGCACTTCACTTATTATGCTAGAGCCATCTACAGTGTTGTGTAACATAAAACACATAACTCCTCTTATGTTATCAATATCAAGATTTGTATTAGGTTGAAGGCAATGGAAAAGGCTAAAAAATCATAACGACCAGGAGGAAATTCTGAATGCACAGTGAACATATAACAAATAAGGTTCTCAGTACAAAATATACTGATAATAAGGGCTATTTATTGGCTTTTTGCTATTGACTAGTTCATAAAACTAAAAACCATGAAATAAAATAAAGTACAACAACTGAAACTGTTTTAGACCTTTACATACAAGGTCACGGAAGGGTTACACGTGAATTAGCTATTTCCTGCATCCTGACTTGAGCTGGAAACTCCCTTGTCTACCAGTAACACCTTTTACATCAGCCATTGTTCTGTGCTCAGATGGGAATCACTGGTGTTTAATGAGAAAATGACACAGTGCAGCTGTTGCCTGGAGATTTGGGCATGGAGAAAACTGGAAGCAGCCCCCAGTCTAAATTGAGAAGGAGGAGACCAGCAGAAGGACGTCTGGCACATTCTCCTGGGTGTCTGTCAATATATCTTTTTTTCTCCTTATCAGACCAATCAGCAACCACCTTCTGCCAAAACAGAAGATGACACCATCTGCCTTGACAAGTTAAAATAAATAATGCGGATGCAAACTGTTAAAGTGTGCCAAAGAAACTGTACCAAATTTCTATGTACAATTATAAAGATATACAGTATATTCTTTATAATAGAGACAGAGCTAATCAGGTGTAATTCAACGTACATTCTAAATAATGGTTCAGAGCTCACAGAAACAGGAAATGGTTGGACTCAAGATTTGCTTCTGGCTACCGGCCACAGTCTATAGTCAGTATAATTTTTCATTCCAATTTCCAAATATTGCCTAAAAAACATTATGACAGAAGTAAATAGCATTTAACGTATCATATTTATCATTTTTTTTTTCTTATAGTTCTCTTTTAATTTTTTGAGCTGTGAAGATGTAAGGGGCAGGGCTGTGAATACATTTTTCAGCTTAGATCGAAATGTGGAAGCAAAGATGACAAGAGAAGGAGCTAATTAGATACACACAAGCAAAAAAGACCATTTTAGTAGGTGACTGAAGCGTCACATGAAGCAGAAATTTGTAAGCCACGACTACTGAACATTGCCATAAGTAAGTCATATTTTTTATATTTTCTTTCCGCAAGTAATAACCCAAGAGTCTGATTTTTGAGACCTGAGGTTGCACTTGTTTTTTTCCATTGTTCTAAATCAATGCCCCACCCATATATTAGTATGGAATGTAATGATATGAAGGAGGAGGGTAGGGTGTTAGGCACTATACTTAGATATTCTACTTAATAAAGTAACACTAAACTCAGAAATTAAATCTTAAAAATACATTCAAGTACCTTAACTAGTAACAAATATGTATCTTATTTGTGTATCACTCAGCTGCAGATCATCAAATCATCTCTGAATTGGTGCCGACCCTGTGCTTCCTTCTGGAGGGTGGCTGCTTTTGTTACCCATGGTCCCTGTGTGTGTTGTAAAGTAGCCACCGCTCCAAGCTCGCTCCTGTGATGGACTACAATCTCAATACAAATTAGTAAACTAAACATGAGATTGTAGTCCATCACAGGAGTGGGCTTGGAGCAGTCAAGTGATACATAAATTAGTTATGTTTTTGTTAATAGTCAAGGTACTTGTGACAGATTGTACTGGCCAAGGGGTGAAGTAATTGCTGGCTACTATGTTAACAATAGGTTGAAACAGGGGGTCAGTTACAAAATGGGTTAACTCACCTAAACAGGGTGTGGACAGAAGGTTTTAAAAGGAGATGCAGCTATGGCTGGGCACACACCTTACAACCATCACAAGACTTTTGTCTTGCGATGGTTGTAAGGTAATTTAAAAAACGTACGATCTGCCTATCTTGGACAAGCAGATCGTACTTGCGATGATGGCAAGCCCGCCCCGGTGAGGGGCGGGCTTCTGATGATCGCAATGCTGAACGGGCAGTGTGCACTTGCGCACACCGGCCCATCTGGCTTTTATTTTACGAACATGCTACACACCCGCCGAAAATTTTCTTGAGAAAAGAAAAGATTCTCGGCGGGTTTTCGAACATGTTCGTAAGATAAAAGTCGTGCGAACTTACAGTAGTAGAGGTTGCACGGCTTCCACACACCTTACGATAATCGTATAATCGCGGGATTTCCCGCGATTATCGTACGATTATCGCAAGGTGTGTGGGCACCTTAACAGGTCACTGGGAAGAGAGAGATGGTGAAACACAGACCTCCCAGGCTGCTGCACTAGAGGTATAGTGAGACCTGAGAAAATGTTTTCTTTGTTTGGCTTAGCTTGGCACCTTTATTCAGTGAGGGTGAAACTGTTTTCTATGTGTAGGTAGATCTCTGACAGAGATAGGCTTTTTGTTTATGTATTTTTGTTACTAGCTGGCTGGAGAAGACTCAGTGCTGTTTGTGAAAAAGTTGTCACCAGCTGAGTACAATAAACTTCCCTGCTAAGGACTTTTGGACTCTAGCCTCTACAAGTTTATCGGCTTACTGACTGCATTGTGACACAGTGTTACCTAGGAGCAGGCACACACTGTTACAGTACTTGAATGCATTTTTAAGATTTAGCACCTGAGTTTAGTGACTCTTTAAACTATTTGTGAAGGCAGCACAGTGGCTTAGTGGTTAGCATTTCAGCCTTGCAATACTAAGGATCCAGGTTCGGCCAGGACACTATCGGCATGACGTTTCCATGTCCCCCCTCTATTTGTGTGGGTTTCCCCTAGGTACTCCACTTTCCTCCCACACCCTAAAGACATGCTGTTAGGTATAATTGTCTCCTGTCAAAATTGTCCCTAGTATGTGTTTGTATGAGATAGGTACCTTAGATTTTAATGTCTTTAAGGGCAGGGACTGATGTGAATGAATAGTATGTAAAGTACTGTGTAAATTGATAGCGCTATATAAATACCTATAATAAATAAAAGTTCATAGTCCTGTGTGGTTATCTTCTGTTCGCCTGTTTCCCCAGCAGTGAATTAGTACATATATGACAAAGGTTACACCTTCTGAAACTGTAAATACAAAAATACCTATATAGTTATTCGTACAATATTGGTACGGAGGGCATTGATAT